GGTCCCATCAGTGTCCTCTCACTCAACTCATACCAACAGAGAGCTGATCTGCACTGTCTTCCATACAGTGCTTCATAAGGAGCCATCTGAATATTGGCATGATAACTATTATTATAAGCAACTCTGCTAGAGGTAAATGCTTATCCTAGCTACCCTAAAGCTCTAAGGCACACAATCTCAACATATCTTCTAATGTCTAGATCGTCTGCTCAATCTATCCATCCATCTATGAATGATAGGATGTACTGAACTTTAGATCTGTGCCTATAGCCCTTTGCATAGCCTGCCACAAATTTGATGTAAACCAAGGATCAAGGTCTGAAACAATATCCCTTCGTACCCTGTGTAATCGTATAATCTCCTTAATGTAGATCTTAGCATACTTATCAACTGTATAGGTGGTCTTGACCGGTAAGAAGTGTGCTGACTTAGTCAAATGATCTACAGTCGCCTAGATAGAGTCAAAACTAGCTTGGGTTCTCGACAGACTAGATACAAATCCATTAAAATATTATCCTATTTTTATTTGGGAATCTCCAGAGGCTGTAACAACCCTGATGGCCTTCGGTGCTCTACCTTGACCTTCTGACAGGTCAAACACTTACTAACATACTTTATGACATTCTTTTCCATACCTAGCCACCACATTGATGCTGCATGTCATGATACATCTTAATAGTACTGGGATGAATGGTGTAGCTACTATGATGTGCCTTATCTAACAATTGCCTCTAAATAGACTTATTGTTGGGAACACACACCCTATCTTTGAAAATCACATACCCATAATCACTAAACTAATAATCCATTATCTCACTATTCTCGATGTCTTGACTTATTTTTAACAAAATTGAAGCTGAGCATCTCGTATCTTTTTCTAAAATTCATTAGAAATAACTGTAGTCTTAAGACCATTTAAGGAAAACTCAGTCATACCCAGATAAGTCTCAAGTAAAGACTCCATCAATCTATGCTCCTAAACCATTAAATAAGCCACATGTAAGGTCTTGCGACTAAGAGCATTTGCTACCAACATTTTGCTTTTCTTGAATGATACTTAAATTCAAAATTATAATACTTGAGAAACTCCATACAACATCTCTATCTCATGTTTAGCTCTTTTTGATCCACCAAGTACTTGAGACTTTTATGGTCACTCATGACCCTAAACTCTGTTCTATAAGATAATAGCACAGCAACTCAAAATCATGTATCGGATAATTCTCCTCATGCGGCCCAAGCTGTTGAGATGCATATGGCACTGCCCTCTCATCTTATATTAGAACATAACCAAGACCATTATGAGAGGCATCAGTGTGCACATCATAAGCTTTTGAGGATCTAGAATTACTAACCTTCTTTCCACTTAAGAAAAGCTATCTTGTACCTATAATCCCAAATAAACGGCCTATCCTTCCTCGTGAGCTTAGCCAAAGGCATCAAAATTTGAGAGAAACCCTTGATAAAATACCAATAGTAACTTGCTAACCCCAGGAAACTATGGATCTCTATAATCAATTTTGGTCTCTCCCGTTGCTACTTTAACCTTATGCAATCAACCATAATACCATTTGTCGACGTGATATGTCCTAAAAATCTAATCTCTCTCATCCAAACCTCACACTTACTGAGCTTGGCATATAGCTTATGATCTCGCAAAAATCTTAGGATAATCCTCAAGTATCTAGCATACTACTCCTCATCTTTAGAGTAGATTAGTATATCATCAATAAAAACCACCACAAACTAATCCAAGAAAGGCCAAAAGATGCGGTTCATATAGTCTATGAAAACTGCAGGCGCCATTAGTTAACCCGAATGGCATAACCAAGCACTCGTAATGGCCATATCGAGTCTTAAAAGCCGTCTTTACCACATCATTCTCACTAACCCTTAGCTGGTGGTACCTAGAATGTAAATCAATCTTGGAGAAAATTGTGGCACCAGCTAAATGATTTAAGAGATCATCGAAGTGAGGTAGTGGGTACTTGTTCTTCACTGTAGCCTTATTCAACTACCTAGAATCGATATGAGGCTTTTTTGAAAGAACAAAGCTATTTGGGAATAAATATTTTTTGAATAAAATTGAGATGAGTTTAGATAAACCTAGAAACATTTAGAATGATTCTAGATAAATCAGAGAATATGTATTACTCTCAGAAGAGGAAAGGAGAATGAACTATGAGAGCTTCAATTAACCCCTATTTTACTCGTGTGGAACAGAGCACAACGCATTAGGCATATTTTGAAAAAAAAATAGAAGCAGGTGTGTAAGAAAGACTAGACATATTTTAAAGTAAGATTTTTATATTAGAATAGTTATGTAAGCATTGATTGAAAATCATCATTTGGGAATAAGAAGTGCTATTCTCAAATAGTCTATTCCTGAATAACTTCTTCTTGAATAAGTGACTTTAAAAAGACACAACACGAATAAGCTATAAAGAACAAAGCATTATTCCTGAATAAATATAGCTATTCCAAAACAAGCTATTTCTAACTAGACAAGAGAGTTGATACTTGGAAATAAAGAAGTTCACTCAGGAATAAGATATTTCGAAATAAAGAGGCTATTCTAGAATAAGGACCATTATATAGAAAAATGACAAAGGCTCTCAGATTTAGGATATTTGATTCTAAGTTCACATGAGACACCTTTCAAGCAATGCAAGAGGTTCTTAAGGAGTAAGATCAAGTTTATACTTAATCTTTAGAGAAAAACACAATATGAATGGGTTTAGGGAAAGCTCACCTGTTACTTGGCTATTTAGGAATAAGACATATATTTGGGAATCAGGAATAAGATACGAGATATAGAAACTTAAATCAAAGATAACCAATTTCCTACAAGCCATTATTTTTTAATTATTAAACCTATCAAACATAAACTTTCTTATTTTATAGTTATCAAAACTAGGGTTCAACACAAATAACATCACATTAAAACATACATAGCCAACAATTTCCTTATCAAATTAGTAAATTAACCATAACCTAATAAGAGCAAGAGAAAACCTTCCCATTCATTTATGCCTTCTTAATGCTTAATGACACACCTAAACTAATATTTAATTTAATAATATCTACTTTAGGTACTCCAAGATTCCAATCAATATTTCAAACTTATTACTTATAGATATAATTACACATATAGCTTTCCAAGTGGCATCCATAATTCTTCCAAACCTTAATATAAAGATTAAGAAACCTTATTTTAACCAAATCTTTCTTTCAAACATTTTCACAGACATCTTGAGTGTATCAAAATTTAATTCACAATAATTATCTAATAATTTAATCAACTTCCAACATTAACTCTATCATCAACATTTAGTTTAACATAAAAATAAAATAACACACAACATCAACTAGAATACACCACAATTTCTCAAAATCATGACAAGAATGATGTAGAAAGTTGACTTTTGAATTCACCCTTTTTTTACTTCCCCCTAATAACCAACATAAATAAAAAAATCATTGTTAAAAGTCCGTCTTACAATAGTGCTTGTGTATATCATAGCATGAAGAAGCAATAAAGCAATTAGGTAGATCAAAGTTTCTTATGGCAGATATTACAGCACGTGTAGTTGTATTTATACAACTGGTTCTTGCATATTGTGTGATAACAAATCTCCTTATAAAGCTTATAGCTAAGGAACTGTACATAAAATGTATCAAGTCTCTTAGCATGTGTAGGAAATGAGATAGCATACATAAGTAGCATTTTGGTTAAAATTATATCATCATGGCTATACATGTATATGTGAAAGTATACAATGTTTAGTATGTCATATAGGTAAAGAAGGTTGGCTTCCTTACATGAGCAACTACATTTGACGCTCAAGAGGAATGAACAAGGTTAAGACATATGTGTTCACTAGTAAGGCAGTAAGAGTGCTGATATGGTAGAGCAAAAACACAAACTATATATCGCCTCAACATAAAATAAGGAGCATGTTGAGATCAAATTTATATATATATATATATATATAGATTAAATCATGGATTCCTACATCTATGACACTTATAGCCAAATAATAAATCCTTCAAGTTTGATGTCATGCGAGATGAGTAGAAGAATTTAGGTTAGATATTGTGTGTGTCTAAACTTAAGTCTATACAGCATTAATGATAAAAGAAAAATGATATATGGTCATATGAGATAAGAGTAACACCATAGCAAGTGATTAATACCACATGTGCTTAGGAATCATTACTGGGAAGCAAGTGAATAAATTCGTACTTCATTATTGTGTAAGTCCTAAGGTGAAATAATCATTTCATTGATGTTGTTTGACTTTGATAATATCATGGAGGTAAGTTATAGTACCCATGACTTTAGCATATATCCTATAATCATGATAGATGTGATTTGAAGGTGATATGCTAGGAAAGCAATTATTTCTTATCAGAGCGATATTTGGGCAAAAAGAAGACTAATTACTTGATATATGCCACACTTATGCTAGTGTCTAAGACATGTCCCTTATAATATCATTATGTGGACTTCATAATTGTAGACACTGTGCACATGAGAAAAGCAATTTGAGTCTTATACTAGGTTAATTGAGATTAGATTGGCCATGAGAAAATTATATATAGGTAAATCTACGACATATAAGGCACATTATTAATACAACAGAAAATCAATAGAGGAGTGTTTTATGCTAATCTATAAAGGATTTCTAGTATAAGAATGCTCAAAGAAAGACATCTTGTGTAATAACTCAAGAATTTTAAGCAAAAAAATTCAATTAAAAAGTTAATATATAGTATTGTATTATAATTGTAGTTATATTAATTTTAGGATAATTTGGATAAGAAGGGAAGCTAGTGTAGTGGAAGTGTGCATATAATGCACTCATTAGTCCCAAGTTTGAACCTGATAGAGGCCAAAAAGGAGAATTATTTTCCAATTTTTGACTCTATGAAATTACCAAAATATCCTTCTCCTAATCTGATATATTACTCTTCTTTCTTTTTTCTCTTCATCAAACCTGTACGTGCTGGCCAGTGGAGAGAGAGCTTGAGGATTTTCTAGAAGCTTCAAACCCTCGCCTAGACTTCTATCCTTCGCCATTATCTCTGTCATTCTACTGGTCATCAGTGACTCCATGAATGCTGGAATCTTCACTGTGGAAAAGCATAAATGGGCTAATATTGCTCTCCTCCATTCTGCATCAATCTCCCTATCTTATCGTTTGTAAAACTGTGTAAGTAACTTAGGCTTCCTCTTCGTTTTTCAGCCTGTAGCTTGTGACTGTGAGCTTACCGGCATGCTTGTCGTTGTTGTTGTCTCATTCGCCCTTGATCAACCAAAATGTGACCTCTTCCTCCTCCTTTATTCTAGATCAGTCCCTTTCTTCTTCACCATTGGCGTGGCTGTGCAGGTAAATAGGAGAACTTTCTCTTTTTGCTTTGCTTGCTTTGTCAATCACCAGTTTGCTCATCTCTTCTTTATTCCCAATAGCTATCTTCCTCTCCTTCATTGTGTAGACGCAACACTCTCTTCCTCCTCCTTGTTAGTGTGTTGTTGGTCTATCCAAGGTGAGAATTTTTGATCTCTTCTCCTTAGAAAATTTTGTGTGTGTAAGATGGTAAAAGGATGGAGTTGATGTTGCAAATTTACTTTCTTCTTGAGCCCTACTGCTATCTGTAACCTTATATGGATATATAGGAAGAGGAAGCTTGATTTTTAGATCAAAATTGGTGGTTATATAATGAGGGAGCTGATAGTATAGAATTGAGTTTGTAATTGAAAATGATTGAATTAGTGATATTGTAAGGTTTGAAGGAAGGTGAAATTTGGAAGCAAATGTTAATATTAGCTTGATAACTTATGCTCATATAGTGTTTAACAAAATACCTAGGAAGAGAGTTGGCTTGGATTTGCATTTTTTAAATTTAATTAGTCTTTGTGAGAAGTATGCTAGTATGGAAGATTATGGATCTACAAATTAACTTATATATTGCAAAAGAATTTAAATATGAATTTGTATGAAACCATTTAAATCATTAGGAATTGTAAGGTTATTAGTAAATTGTTGGATGTTTTAAATCGAATTGTAGAACTAATGCACCTAAGGCATTTGGTGCAAAGCTTGAGAGAAAATTATGTCTCAAGGAAAGAGGTTGGCATGGTTAAAACAAGTTGGAGGAGACTAGTGATATGAATAATAATACTTTGACCAACTTTAAGGCATCAATTTTCGTTTTGGAAATCTAAATGATGGTGGCTGGTTGAGATTGTGTAATAAATTAAAAATTTATTAAAAGTATATTTATTTACATCCTTATAGGGTGTGTGGAAGAATGAGACCTTAAAAAAAAATTAAAGGAAGAATATTGTTGGGAATTTGGAACTCTGATAAATAAGTGAATAGCATTCCCTTTAACTTATATTTTAATAGGCTTTTTTCTAAAATATTTTACTCTTATGAATTAAATTAGTTTTTAAAATTATGGAATATTTATGGTGAATAATTAGATGGTAATATGTGCATTTATTTTTCCTCAAGAAATACATTTCTAATATTGATGAAGGCATCTTTGTTTATTGAATTTTGGAATTTCTTGATTACACAATTAATGCAAGTCTGTACATTCGCTTTGATGTATTAATTTGGAAATTTTTATATATTTGAAACAATTCATGTGAGTTTGTTATTGGGAATGAAAATTCTTTTTAAAATAATTATTTCTCTCCCATGTTTGAAATGAGATTATAAGAGGACTCTATACAGAACACTACCACTAACGGTAGTTTCATTAGCCTGTGACGCGCTGTGATTAATAACTAGCTAGTTTGTTTCTTAAGCTTTGTCCTCACATTTGTTATTCGTGGGCTTCATACCCACGTTTGGTTTTCATGACTTTAAGTCGCGTTTGGTTATTTTACCCTTGTGGACTGTGTGTCCACGTTTGTTTCGTAACTCAAGTTGCATTTGGTTACTTACCCTTATGGATTATGTGTCCACGTTTGTTTTCGTGGCATAAGCCACATTTGGTTATTTTACCCTCATAGACTATATTTCCATGTTTGTTGCCTATTCTGTTAAGTTCTCACAATCCTAAATTTGGACAAATTTATGCACTTGAAATTTTAATGGTTTCAATTGTTAGTATGTTATTTTGATCCACGTATGTATAAATTATCTTTTTTTTTTTCTACCATGAAGATATAAAGTGTTTTCAGTGTTTTCAATTTAATCTTATTTGATGGTTATACTTAAAAAGTTATAAAGTTATTGAGTACATTATATTAAATTCTTGTCCATCCAACTAATTTACAAAATTGATTGAATTTATTATTTTAAATTCTATCTTTGGGGATGCTATTCATTGAAAAATTTATTTTGGTCTCAAATTCATTATTTGACACCGATCCTACTGCTAAGCTCTAAAGGGCAATACAGCTATATTGGGTGAAAATTTTATTTGGTACTATTATATTTTTATGTAAATATTTAAATCTTAAATATTTTAATTTAGAAAAAAATTAGTTGCTCCACAAAAATTGTTGTCAGAAATTTATTTTGATTTATATATTGTTTATTGGCTGGAAGGAGCTGAGCTCCTAATTTAGCTAATGTTTTGACCGAATCAGTGTATTTTAGAAATTTTAGGTGATTCTATTTATAGGTGAGGTTCTGTCAAAATTCCTATAAAAGCATTGAAGCCTTGTTATGACAATTAATATCAAAAGTGTTATAATTTCGATATAATTTGATTTTTTTAAACAAAACAAAATGAATTTCATTTTGAAGCTTATGGGAATGCGCAAAGTGATTCGCTCTCATGCTGGTCACCCTCTGTTTTCGGGGCATAACATCGTGCCCACATGGTCACAATGGAGCACCTACTATGAACGTGAGAGAGAATTCATCAAGTGTGAGTGGGACATGTTAGGTTGCACCCTTGATGAATTAGGCCAAGTGAGTAGGGGCCCAAGTTGGCTTAAATAATTATTTTTTATTATCTTATGGGTGGTTACTGAAGTATTTTTGAGGGGATAGTTATTTGTTTTAAATAAACAAAATAACTACCCATTATCTATGAGTGAGATATTAGGTAATTTAATATAACATACAAGTATTTTAGTTTTACTCTCCTCTCTAGAAAAGTAAAAGCAAGAGTGTTCTCTCAATCTACCTCTCTCCCTCTTCACTTTGAAGAAAGTTCCAGTACATCTACTATGTATCAAACATCCAAACCCATCATTATGGTTAGGTTATCGTGAGGCAGAAACAAGGCCGAGTGTTGCTATCAGAGTTACCATAATCGAAGTCCACAAAGGTATGTTTCTGCACTCCATTTTCTTCATGTCCAAATCCAAATAAAATCACCATTGATCCAAACATACCATTAAGTATTTCTATGATTATAAAATATGCTTTGAGAAATATAAATTAAGGTCATGGTTGGTAGAATGAGTTTTCAAACTAGTAATCATTTCCAATCAAATAAACCTTGTGGTTATAAAGTGGTGTTTGTCTTTTTGGCAAAATTGTATTAGAAAATTTCAGATAAATGCCTTTTCCTTGAAGATGGTTTCCAAAGCTTTCAATTGAGCCAAGGATCACCTAAGTTCGATATTGTCTAAGGTTTAGTTTATGAATTTATAAAGCTACTATAAAATACAAAAGCCAACAAATAGATAGTAATTAAAAATATTATATTTTTTTAATAACATCTTATTAAAATATTATAATTTGTATTTAATAATTTAAATAGTATTATTACTTAAAAATTTTTTACACATAATTTTCAAGTCAGCTTTGAAGATATAGAAATTTCTAAAAGAGGACTTGTAAATTTTGAAGGATGACTTATAATTTATCACTTTATTTTAATGTACAATTCAATTAGGATGGAAAACACATTCACTTATAAATTTTAGAAATACTAGTTGAGTTAATTTTTATAAGAGGATTTATAAATGGGAGAATCTCATCTAGGGCCCCTAAGTGAGAAAAAATTGCATTTAGAACCCAATGTATTTTGAAATAATTCTGTAGGCTAAAGGGCCCTTTTCAAAAGTATGTTTTATGGTGAAAGGACACAATTGCCCTTCGTGAAAAAAGGCAACAAGTATAAGTTTATATTTTTACAACTACATGTTCATGAATTCACAACTTTAAGTTCACATAGTAACAAATAATTACCTATTGGAAATAAAATTCTTGTTTAGAGTTAGTATGTTCATCTTGGCCAACTTAATAAATTTACAACTTAAAATTTAAATATTCACAAGTATAGATTCATCTATTCACAAAGTCAATGTCCAGAATTTATGACTTCACATATTCAAAACTAAGGTTCATAGTGATGGTAAGTTTAGATTTTTACAACTATATATTCACCAATTCACAAATTTAGGTTCACATATTAACAAGTAATTGTTTATTGTAATGAAATTCTTGTTCAAGGTTAATTGACAAGTTTGTCTTGGCTAACTTAATAAATTTACAATTTAAAATTTGAATATTCACAAGTAAAAGTTGATCTACTCATAAATCAAAGTATAGAATTTATGACTTCATATATTCAAAAGTAAATTTCATCATTACAGCAAGTTTAGCTTTTTACAACTAGATATTCTTAAATTCACAACTTTAAGTTCACATATTAATAAGTAATTGTTCATTAGTAGTGAATCTAATGTTATTTCTTTCTCGCTAATGGCAATTGTGTCTTTTCTCCCTAAAACATATTGGCAGAAAGGATCATTGGGCCTATAGAATAAATTCAAAATGCATTGGGCCCTAAGTGCAATTTTTTTATGCTTGGGGGCCCTAGGTGAGATTCTCTTTTTATAAATTTTAGAGGAATAGTTTATAAATAATAATATTTAAATTATTAAATATTAAAATACATAATATTTTAATAGCATGTCATTAAAAAAATATAATATCTTTTTAATTACATATCAGTGTTTACCATATTAGTGATCCAATAACCACTGGGTAGTTGGTCACAGTAGTTTGTTAAAATCATAATTTTTTTTTGCATTTTATATGGGTAAGAAATAATGTTAATCTATTGGGATTTAATTATTTGAAATTTATGGGACTTAATTAGTATGATGGCTTTTTCTATAATTTTTGGATTATTTTCTATATTTTTTCTAGTCTTTCTATGTAATATTTTAGGTCAACTAATGGCCAAATTAATGAATATTGAATGGAGGGGTGACATTGCTCTATTATTAATACATAAGAGGCAACATTATGTCACCCTTGACTTGAGAGTGTCTAGTGTTTAGGAGCAAATTTGTTCTTTAACCCTGGCTATTATGTTTACGTTGCAATTTGGTTTATGTGATATCAAATGGTGCAAAGAACTAAAGAAGGGAATAGAGAATTGGAGAAGCACTGGGTGATTTTGGAGGCTTGAAGTTGCATAGTCTAACATTGGTATGCCATTGTGATATAAGGGGTCATATTTTGTTCCAAGTTCTTATAGGTATGGTGAATGCCGCATTTACAGGTCTGTTTTGGATATTCAAAGTGGGGCCGACAAGCATTTCTGGATGGTTTGAATTGAGTTAATTTGTAATTTTTAGCAAATATAATAAACATACACAAGATTGATTTAATTTTGAGTTGTATCGGATTAGTAATAAATTTTTAAATCAAGTTTGTCGTAAATATACAAATTTTCATAAATGTGAAGTCATAGCTTGAAGCCTCCATTGATGGTCTCTTTGTAGTTGCTATTGTTAGGACTAACAATTACTTTCCAGTTAACTTCAAAAAAGAGGAGGAAGAAAGACTTGCATAATGGAATGATGCTCAATAGTGCATATCCCAATATATGGGGAGAGTATTCTTTAATGGCCAACCAGGTCCTTACAAAAACCTTTAGGTATGCCCAACATATATATATATATATATATATATATTCATTTGGAGAATGTGTGACTCAAATCTTGAAGCGATGATAGAAAAGAAAATTATTTAATTACTCCAACATAATAAAATTTAAGTGGGTTTTCCTCTAATAACAAGATATGTTTCCAAAAATATAAACAAAGGACACATAGAGGAGACTAAGAAAAATATAGGGCTCATTTAGATTAATTGAGAAAACATTTTCTTATAAAATCAAATCCAAACTGTATAAAATTACTTGAAGAAAATGAATGGACTTTGAGGTATTAAGTATTCAAAACCCAAATGTTAAAAGAGAAAAGAAACGACATGAAGAAATCCCGAAGTCTTATAATCAAGAAAATTTCAAATACTTTGTATATTATTACAGCACATGGAGTTACTCCAATTTACAAGATTACTTGTTTCAAAAAGAAATCTAAGGGCTGAAGAAACAATAGCTAAAATTTGATTTACCTATTATTCAACTAGTAGGGTCCCTAACATTTTCTTGAAATGAAGCCTTGATTTTTTTCAATGATGCTACAACATCAATCATAGTAAGTCGTGCCTCAGGTAAATCAATGCAACAATTTAATGCTAACTCAAAAACTAATAATATATGTGGTAATATATTATTAGTATTTTGATTTTCATTGTGCAGCAAATTGGCATATATAATGCTGATGATTGAATGTGGTGTTGATTTTCTCACCCAATCTTTCAAACTTAATCCTTGAACAAACATCTCATCTGTCGGCTTCTTCCTTGTAAAGATTTCCATTAGCAAAATACCATAACTATAGACGTCTCCTTTGATAGAAACAACTCCTTTTGATCCATACTCTGTTATGCCAATTTCAACAATTAGTATAAAAGTCATGATTTCAAAAACAGTATATAAGATATGGTTAAGCTTTACTTTTGTATCATTAATTCAAATATCTACACATGAAGATATACAAATCAAATAATATAAAATTTTATGAAGCATAACAAACAAAAGAACATATAAACAAATCCAAAAAATATTATTAAACCATTACCTGGTGCCATATAGCCAATTGTAGCCAAAGTTTTGGTATAAATTTCTAGTTGTCCTTCACCAAACAATTTAGCAATACCAAAGTCACTAAGATGAGCTACCATATCTTCATCCAATAAAACATTGTTTGGTTTCACATCACAATGAACAACTAGTGTTGAAGAACCATGATGAAGATACTCTAAAGCAACTGCCACATCAATCATTATGTTCAACCTTTGCAAGACATTTAAATAATAGTTATGAGAGTATAACCATTTGTCTAGACTCCCATTTTCCATGAATTCCATTATTAGAGATTTGAAATGATCATTTGAGCAACAACTGATGACCTTGATGAAATTGCGATGGCGTAAATTGCACATGGTAGCACATTCAATATCAAAGCTTCTTAATGCTTCGTCCATTTCTAACTTAAATACTTTGACAGCAACTATTTTTGAGGTTGAAAGAGTTGGTTTGTATACTAATCCAAAACTTCCAGAGCCCAAAAGATTACTCTCATCAAATCCATTTGTTCCTTGCCAAAGCTCATAATAGGATATCCTAGTTGATGTCTCAAAATTTATTAAATCCCCATTGGTTGAATCCTTAATATGATCTTTCTTACACTTTAGAAAGACAATGCCTGAAAGAACCAAAATGACAACCATGCATATGATAGGCAATGAGCACTTTATCACTAGCTTCAATTTATTTGACATGTGCTTGTGTTCTTTCCTACATGGGTGAACTTGTAATTGTGACTTCCCACAAAGATCATTATTCATTATAAAAGATTCAGAAGTGAAATTTTGAAAAGGGCCCCCACTTGGAATTTCTCCATGCAATAAATTATAAGAAACATTAATGTGTTGAAGATAGATTAACAACTCTAAGGATTTTGGAATCACACCAGACAAATAATTATAGGAAAGATCCAAAGATTTCATACTTATCATGCTACCAAGCGATTCAGAAATATTCCCTTGTAATTTGTTTTGGGCCAAAGATAGGGTTTGCAAAGTTTGTAGGCTACCCATGGTTGTAGGGATGCCTCCTGAAATTTGATTTCTTGACAAGTTCAATAGTATAATTGTTCTAAAGTTTGATACCTTTGGTGAAATTATTCCACTCAATGCATTGGAGGATATGTCTAAGACCAAGATATCTTTGAGACTCCAAAGAGAAGAGGGTATATGAGAAATCAATTTGTTAGAGCTCAAATCCAACTTCCGTAGAGAAGTATTCCCAAGGCACCCTGGAACCACTCCATAAAACATGTTGTTGGCAAGATACAACTCACTTAGACTTTTGAGTTGGCAAAGTTCATTTATGATGGACCCATACAATCTATTGCTACCGAGGCTTAAATGTTGAAGACCATGTAATTTGTTAACTGTATCAGGAATTAACCCACTCGAATCATTCCCATGCAAATCTAATTTCATCAAGTTTGTTAAATGTCCAAGTACATTGGGTATAGCTCCGCTAAATTTATTCAATGACAAATCCAACTTAATGAGCTTAGAAGCATTTGATATGTTACTTGGAATTTGTCCAATAAGTTCATTATCTTCCAGTAATAATTCCCTCAAGTTGGGAATGCCAATTCCTAAATATGATGGGAGAGTGCCAGAGAGGAAATTACCACCAAGGTTCAAACGTGTCAACGTTGAAATGTTGAATATATTGGAAGGAATTGCTCCTTTCAAATGATTTTGGCTCAAGTCTAAGAGATTGAGGTTCTCAAGTTCACCAATGCCTCTAGGTACAAAACCTGGACACGAGAAAGTCAATGGAAATCATGTCTTTTACATTGATAGGATAAGAGAATTAAAAAAATAAAATTTATTTCTATTAATTTTTTTTTCTAAAATTTTTAAAAAATTAGGGAAATCATAAATTACCCTGGAGATGCCATGGTTATAAAAGATTTATTATAGAAATAAAAATTTTTATGTTGTAATTGTTGAATAACTATTTAATAGGGAATAATAAATTTGTAAAATAAAAAGAAACAATCAAAAATTAAATAAAACCGGGAAATGATGTATTGTTTAATAAAGGGAAGAGAAAACATAGCGTTGAAGTTGATAGGAAAGCGACAAAATCTGCACGCGCATAATATATGGGCATGCTGTGATTGGAAGAAAGAGAAGTAGAAGAAAAATTGTATTTTCTCTTGCTCAGTTTGAAATTAATGAATTTGCAAGATAAAAAATTGGAAAAAATAGTTAAATAGATAAAGAATATAATCTTGTATAAGGGGCGAGGAAGAAAATGTAAAATTAAACTTATTAAGAGAAAGATAAAATCTTAAAAAGTCGTAGTCGCATAAAACACGTGAACCCATTATGTACGGCAAGAACTTAGAGATTTTTTTTTTGTTGAAAAAAATCATATTGAAATCGCATTCATAGATTCTAAATTTTTTATTAAAAAAACTACATGAAATGTCTAAATGACTCCAAAATCTAAAAGACTTTAATTGTAATTAATTTTTAATGTTGATTTACGAAAATATCCTTATTCCTTCAAAGCCCCTCCAACTCCCGCCGTAACTAAAACCATAGATTAATTTTTAATACTAGATTAATTTTTAATCTAGTATGTTCAAGAATAAGTCTAAAAATTATGTTAAATATAATAAAAATAATTTTAAGTAATACTCGTTTCAGCCACAGAAGATTTAATGAATTTGCAAGATAAAAATATTGAAAAAATTAAAATGGATAATTTAAACAGAAAAAGAATGTCTTCTTCAATAAGGGGAGAAAAAAATATAAAATTAAAGTTATTAGGAGACCCATAAAATTTTAGAACAAAAGTAATGGAATTTTAGATTTACTCCATTTCAATATGAATGAACAACAAGAAATTATGGATGAAATGATGAAAAACAAAATCCTGTTTTAGATTCACTCCATCCAAAAAAGAGATTAAAAAAAAACGGAAACATAAATATAAGTATATTATACATACCTGCAAAAGAGTTATGACCCAAATACAATTCCTTTAAAGATATGCAATTACTTATTGATTTTGGAATGCTTCCCTCTAATTGATTACCAGCAACATCGAAGGCTTCAAGTAAAGGGAGTTGATGGCACAATTCCTCAGGCAAATTACCATTTAAATGATTCCAACTAAGGCTGACCTTTTTCAATGAAGACATGTTCCAAATAAATGAAGGAATTCTACCTAAACAAAGAGCAAAATATTTGTTTGTTGTTAGTGCGCATAAGACTGGCAATTCCCCAAATTCTGACAAAGTGATATAAATAATACATGGAAATTTGTTAATTAGAGGATTAACATTAATAGAAAAATATACAATAACCTTTTTGGCAACTCCCTCATGTAAAAATTAAATGGATTTTTGTAAGAGCCATGTGTGCTACAACTTTTCTTGACATAAAAATTCGAAGCTAGTTGTTAAGAAAAATGAATTGCATTAAAACATAAAAGTATGCTATAATTTTTACTCTTAAAGTGGTTTCATTAAAAAAATTTGCTAACAATATAGAATAATAAGGATAATCATAAATGAAAAGGTTTTTAAAGAATAAAAGTAACGGATGGGCAGATTGAGAATACCTGTGAAGGAGTTGACCTGTAGATGTAATATTTCTAGCAACGTTTCATTGCTGGTTAGTATTGGAAGATTACCATTCAAATTGTTTATTGCTAAACCCACAATTCTTAGAGAAGAAACGTTGAAGAGAGACAATGGAATTTCACCTGTTTCAATTTAAAAGTGAACAACTAAAATTACATTAAAGTAAGATAGAATAGTTACAAGACTCTAATCAATCATTTAGCACTAAATGTGTACGAACATATCATGGATACAATTAAACTTAAAACATTTCGTTTGATAAAAAAAAGTAAAAGACATTCCAATTATCACTTGGTATACATGCTCTATTGAAGCCATAAATTTACCCGACAAATCATTTTTATGCACATTAAATAATTCAAATTTTGGAAGCCCAAAACACATATTTTTTTAGGAGAATATCAAATAAATTTATATTTTTTAGAACATCATTGACATCTTGCTCACAGTGAGAAATAACAAAAATAACCAATTAATTTTTAAAAGCGATGACCCCTAAATGGCAGGATCAATAATCACAGAATAAATTAGTTTTCATGTATGGGATGTGAGTGTGTCTTTTAATGTGATTCATTGATAAATTTAGATCAATTGTCTATATTTGTCTATTAAAAAGGAAAGAAAACTCCTTTTTAACATGAAAATACAGGGGACCAAAAATGAGAAATAAAAGGAAAGAGAGAAGCATCAAAGCACATGAGTCAATCTTTTCTATAATGTCTATAAGATATTAAGATTATATTGGCATAGAGAAAACAAATGACCAAAATTAATCATTCTTAGAAGCTTATCACACATATGCTATAAAATCTTTCCAAATATATAATCTTTTAAAGATATCTAGTTACTTAGTTGCATTGAATGTTCTTCACAAATTGATTCAATATTTAGATTCTCTATTTCAAGATTTTTTTTTCCTTTAAAAAATTGTGCCCCCACCATTGCATGAGTGTGTGCTGTAAAAAAAATTACATGAACATAAAAAATGAACGAAATGATGAAAAGCAGAATTGTGCCCCTACCATAACATGAGTGTGTCATATAAAAATGCAATCACACAACTACATACCAGTACACAAAATTTCCTCAAAAGCATAAAATTAAGGGAGGGTGTATTAGCCATGAATTGTTTGTTACTATCAATTTCTATTGAAGAACTGTTGAAGAAAGATGATTGAATTTCACTTATATTTTACATTAAACAGAGTATGTAGTTAGAAGCTCTCACAATTCTCTAACACTAAATAGGTATAGGTGTCATAAAAAGAATAAAAATAAGATATAATAGTAGAATGAAATACGAAAAGCTTTATGAAATCATATCAATTTGCTTGCAATATTCCAAGAGTTCAAAACAAATATGATGCGAATGCAGTAGAGAGAATAAAAAAAATATCTTTTTTATTTGAGAACTGGATGTATTATCAAAATTACTTTGCCACAGTAGTCTTCCACTATAGAGTAGACCTAGATTCCTCTACATCATCCTTGAAGGATTATATCTAGCAAACTAAATAAATTAGCTTAGAACAAAGACAATTATAGATATTTAAAGAATCTAAAATACTTTCTGAAATATCTCTATTGACAAATTGTTATAAGACAATTTCAATACCTTGAGTAAAGATATGTTGAAAATTATTGTTGAAATTTTTAATGAAAATTTGTTGCCCACAACTTAACTTATAAGATGATATATTTTTTTTTTTGGGTTACTTTCTGCCCTAATCATTTTAATGTTATATTTTTCTCTCTCTTCATCATTCTTTATTTAGTTAACTTCTTTTTCAGTATTTCTCCTATCTCTTATCTCCAAAATTTTTAATTTCAAATTAGGTATTTATCAATTAATTAGCAAATGAAAAAATTTAACTTGAAAAGTAATATTTAATTTCACAAAGCATAATTTTGGAATTAAACATGTAGCACAGTTCCATTCTAAACCCAAATGAATTAAATGATACATTTTATTTATTTGGCTATTATTGAGAATATCTAGCTAATAAAATGTAGTTTTTATTTAATTTCATAAAGTTTTATGTTTGTTTTCTTTAGTGTTGTAGGATAGGTTGTGATATAGCTAGTCGGTGTACTATTTTTTTTTCTTTATTTTAATTTCAATTTCAATGATTACTGTCTAACTTGGTTTTTTTTTTTTTGGGAGGGGGAATTAGTTGTAATTTTTTAGCCCAAGAAATGATTGAACTAGCTTTTTTTTTAGTTATATTTAAAATTTTGATTCAATTCCTATAATATAATATGTAATTGATTTTCTATAGTTATTTATATATATTTGTCTATTATTAAATTTTTAATTCATCTATTTTATGTTTTAAAGATAAAAAAGTTTTAATGAAATAATTATAATTGATTTTGTTTCATATCATAGAATATATGAAGTTAGAATAATTTAATTTAAATTTGTTGATGTTATCCTTTCAGATTTGGCGTATTAATTATTTTTGCCAAATTCCTAGATATCTTCTAAGACGTATTCGACTCATTCAAGAAATTAGATTCTAAGTTCCTTCAATTAAATATGATAAAAAAATATGAAATAAATGTTTATTGATTATATATGGACTTGAAGTATGAGGCAAGGACTGATGGACCAGAAAATGTGATTTTTGGGCTAAGGATATGCGGGCTTACATTGAAGTGCTCTGATTAGAAGATTTATCTTTAAACAGTTTAAGTTTTTTACAGTAATTATTGATATAAGATTAGAAATAATGATAATGAGTAACGTCAATCTGGTTATGATATAATTGAAATTATATTTATTAAATTTATATTATTTGTCACACCAAGCAATATATGTAAATAATACTATAACCATTTTATTTTATTTTATTATGTATATGAGATTTTTTTTGTTTTTTAAATTAAATATTTTTTATTGATATAAAATAAATATTTTTCTAGCAATGCAAGTGATAAAGTACATATACATAATTAAAATGCATTTGGCGACATGAAATGTGATGACAAAGTTAAAAACAAAAACAATAAAAGTCTTCCAAGTTGTTTTCTATAGGTCTGTAGACATATCATGGGCATAATTAAAGTTAATTACTTCCAATTTTTTTCTACCTGTGTTAAAAAAAAACAAAACAAAACTTGCCTTTGGAAAAAAATGCAGGGAAAATGAGAAATAAAAGGCAAGAGAAAAGCATCAAAATCCAAGTGGTCTTAATCATCAAAATTCAACATTCTTGAAAGTTCGTTGTCACTTGTAAATAATAAAAATCATTTAAAATATAATGCTTTTAAAGATGTGTATTTACTTTTTGCATTTGGAAAAGTTTCCACAAATATAACTGATTTAAAATTTTATTTAACCATTAGATGAGTATGTGTCATCAAAATATATATGTTTGTGAAGACAAAATAATCTCATTTCAAATTTATTTCTACCGAAGAGATTGGGAAATTTTTGTTGAAATCACTCCTGAAAATTTGTTCCGTACAACTTAACTTACAAAATGATATATCTTTTTTTTCTTTTCTCTCCTATTCATTTAAACTTATATTTTTCTCTCTACTCGTCATTCTTTATTTATTTAACTTCATTTTCAGTATTTGTCCTATTTAACATCTTTTTAATTTGAAATGTATTATTTAATTTCACAAAGTATAATTTTGGAATTAAACATTTAGGGCTGTTCCTCTCTAAATTAAAATGAATTAAAATGATGTATTTTATTTATTTTTTGAGTATTGAGAATATATCATTTATATACTTTGTTATCAATTTCAGACTTTTGTGTTTGTTTTCTTTATTGTTATAGGATAGGTTGTGGTATATGTAGGTTTGTTTACCATTTTGTTTGTTTATATATCTTTATCTATTACAAATTTTTCAACTCCTCTGTTATAAGTTTTAAAAAATAAAAAAAATTAATGAAATACTTATAATATACAATTCTTGGAAACTTATGAAATAAATGAAAAAAACAAAACTATGAACTTATCTATGTGTGAGGGAAAAACTAATGTGCCAAAGATGTGATAATTGGGCTTGAGATATGTGGACTTACATTGAAATGCTATGGTTTAGAACATTTGCTTTAAACAAATTCCAAAGAATCCAGCCCAAAAAAAAAAACAAATTTCATTGAAGATTGGCTAATAAAAAATTTAAGTTTTTATACAATAATTATTGATATAAGATTTGTAGTAATGATAAAAATAGCGAAGTGTCAGCTCATAAAAAAAATAGTAAAGTGTCAATCTTGTTATGATATAATTGTCATTATAGTTATTAAATTTATATTGATTCTCATTACATCAAGAATTAATATATTAACACTACTATCACCATTTTCTAGCAACACAAGAGACACTTATATCATTAGGAAATTTAAAGAAAAATATAATTGGATGCATATAGGTATGATACAGGTTGCTGTTAAACCTAATTTTCGAACGAACCTATATTCATATGTTTAAGGGATAGATGACAAGAAAAAGATTTTCAAAAATCAATTGTAGGCATTATACAATCAAATTTATTTGAAGGACCTATTTATTTTGATTGTTTTCCAAATTATGTTACTAGATTAAAAGATAATAATTGTAGAGAAGCATTAGTTATGGAAATAGGAAGTAAAGGAACTTGGGCCAAAGGTACTACATATATGGTTATGCAATATAGGATTATGTTTAAAATACAAAAAACTCATCAAAACTTTAAAGCTAAAAAGGAAAGCCCAAAAGGAGAAACTATGTTAATAGAAATAGGAGATCCTTCCAAAACCTTGGTTATAATACCAAAGAAAATAAAACATAGTGAAATACAAATTCCAGAAAAATGGACATTCCCAAAACTAACTAAACCAGCCCCTTTAGGACAAGGAAAATTAAAAGAAATTATAACTACCTTAGAAGGAGATGTTACCTATGAAGTATTTAATAGATCCACTTCTTTAAGAATAAAAGAAAACATTCCAATAAATATACCTAGAACATCTTTAGATAACTCCAGTATAAACTATAAGCTGCAAGGAGTAGATTTTACACCAAATATTCCTAAACCTATTTTTACAGCTGAACCCTCAAGAACTAGAGAATTTCCTGACAACCCCGAAGAAAATATAGAACTTGAAACTCAATCACAAATCGAAAGAGAATTTAAACCTTCAACCGAATATCATTCTTTAATGGTAATTAGGAAAGAAGATTTTGAATTAAATAAAGATATTCTAAGAAAAATGTTTATGAGCCCAAAAAATAGAGAAAAAGAAACTGGTATTTTAAAACTTTTAATAAAAAGGAATTAGAAGATATAAAATGTGAATATTATGAAGAACTTATACAACTAAGAGAACATATTGACTTTTTCATATGGTTAGAAAAATATACTTATAATAATCAAATATTTAATCCCTTTAGTCAAAATAATTACCCATCTATAAATATGACTTCAATAAGAACAAAAAATTGGACATGTAAAAATAATACTTCTGTTACATCTGTACATCCTCCGTTAGAAGAAATCACATATAAAATAGGAGAAACAAGTGTTACAGCCTCTCCCTTAAAATTAGTAAATCCTCAAGAAAATAAGGAATTACAAAAAATCATTCAACAAAATAATTATTCAAATATAGCTATTCAAACTATAGGACAACAATTAGACAGGATAGAAGATAAATTAGAAAATAATATTAGTAATTCTATACAACAAAATATTCCAGAGAAACATATACTGATTAACCCTCAAAGACCAATATTTAAATATGAAGCCATATCTCCTGAACAAGCTAAAACCATGACCTTAGGAAAATGAGAAATAAGAGATAAACAAACGGATATTTTAAGAGATATTCGTAAAAGATTAGAATCATTAAGTTTTAAGGATAGAATAAATGTTATATCAAAACAAGAAGAAACAATGAAGATAAATAAAATAAAATTTAACCCAAAAACTAAATATAAAGATATAAAAAATTATTATCCAAGACCAACACTCCCGGATCTTCAATTTGAAGAAAGATATACTATGTCTGCATCTCATTATGATGGATCTTCAATATATGAATGGAATATAGATGGACTAAGTGAATATGAAATAATGAATATAGCCCAAGAAATAGTTATGGCTGTTGCAGCTTATAGAATAAATAAACTTCAAGATAATAATATATTTGAATTAATAACATAAGGTTTTACTCGAAGCTTAAAAGGTTGGTGGGAAATGTTCTCACAGAAACCGAGAGACATCAAGTAAGGACGTGGCATTCAATAAAAATAGAAGGAGAAATTCAAACTACTTACTTAGATAATATTGCTCAATTAATATATGCTATAATAAAACACTTTGTAGGAGAACCCACTAGAATACAAGAAAAATACTTAATTGAATTAATGAATCTGCGATGTCCAACCCTTGCAGATTTTAGGTGGTACAAAGATAATTTTATATCTAAACTTTTTCAAAGGCAAGATGCTAATTTAGAAATCTGGAAAGAAAAATTCATTTCTGGATTACCAAAGCTCTTTGCTGAAAAAGTAAAAAATAAAATAAAACAAAGACAAGGATTAGGAACTGTAGATTATAATGCATTAACATATGGAGAAATAATACAAATTATTAATATTACAGGATTAAAATTATGTAATGATATAAAAATGCAAAAGAAAATATATAATGAAACAAAACAAGGAAAACTTGAACTAGGAGATTTTTTGAACAATGTTTTGAGAAAATTCAAGCTCCTTCAAGAAGAAAAAGAAAAAAGCATTATAAAACATCTTTAGATAAACATAAACCTTTTTATAGAAAGAAAAAATATAAATATGTTCACTTAATTCTTACTTGAAACAATTTCATTTTCGAGTAGAAATTACTAAGCCATTTTTCTTAATGATTTCAAAAAATTGATTTAAATGTTTAAAGTGATCTTCAATAGTATTGGAGAACACTAAAACATCATCAATATAAACAATTGTGAACTTACTAAAAGGGTTAAAAATATCATTCATTATTTTCTAAAATTCTGAAGGAGCATTTTTTAAACCAAAGGGCATTATATTCCATTCGTAATGACCAAAAGGGACTGTGAAGTCAGTTTTATATCTATCTTTTTCACTTATTAGAATTTGATAATATCCTGACTTCATATCAAATTTTGAAAATAGAGATGCATTAGGTAATCTTCCTAATAAATCTTTTTATTAGGAATGGGATATCTAATCCATTTTAATACTTTATTTAGAGGTTTATAATTTATAACTAATCATGGAGTTCCTCTTTCTATTTCTGCAGAATTTTGAACATAGAAAGTAGAACAACTCCAAGGAGACTTACTTGGCCTAATTAATTTTTTCTCAAGAAGTTGTTGAATTTCTTGTTTACAATATTCTAATAATTCTTGATTCATTTGTATAGGTCTAGCTTTAGTGGGAATTTGTCTTTCATTAAAGTTTTCTTCATAAGGTAATTCAATAGTATGTTTTTTACGATTCCAAAAAGCATTGGGATGTTCAGAACAAATTTCTTTCTCAAATTCTTTTGAAAGGATATCAATCCTTTGTTGGATTTGAGAATTTTTTTATTTGTTCTTCTATTCTCTTATAATGAATTTCTTTATTTATAAAATTTATTTGATTTTTTTTTCTTTTTATAGTATTAATCCTAAATATAGATTCTTGTTTTAACATTTTAATTTCTTTACTAATTTGAGGGCTTATCCAGTCAAATATTATTTTCTTTCCAGCTATTTTAGTAATTATACCTTCTATTCCAACTTTAAAAGGTATAATTTGTTCTAAAAAGGGGGTTCCTAAGATAGCAGGTTCACTTAATGTTTTTACTAACATAAATATATTTTTAAAACATATTCCTTGGTTACAAATATGTGCATTTGATAATTTGTATTTTATATCAAGACGAGAATTATTTGCTGTTCCAATTTTTTCATAAATTTTTTCATAATATTTAGTAGGAATTAATTGTTCTTGAATGCAATTCATATCTGCACCAGAGTCTATTAATACTACAATAGTTTTATTAAATTTGGAGTAAAATCTACTCCTTGTAGCTTATAGTTTATACTGGAGTTATCTAAAGATGTTCTAGGTATACTTATTGGAATGTTTTCTTTTATTCTTAAAGAAGTGGATCTATTAAATACTTCATAGGTAACATCTCCTTCTAAGGTATTTTAAAACAAAAGAAAAGAAAACTTGCTTTGAAAAGAAAACGTTGGGAAAAAATGAAAAATAAAAGGCAAGAGGGAAGAATCAGAATCCAAACTATCCATTATATTATTTTTATATTATCAAATAATATCATTATAGTCGAAATAAATATAGATATTACAAATCTTTCAAAGATGTGCAATTACTTGATGTTTTCTACAAATATAATTGAATTAAAATTTTATTTCACCATAATAAGTGCGCATTCTGAACACACACATGTAAATCTCATGATAAAAACATGGACAACAAAAGATGAAAAACTAAAGGATATATTATCTCAAATTTATTTCTATTTGAGATGTCACACACCCATATGGATATGGGTATATCTGTGAATGAATTTGCACAATTAGCTTATAGATTTTAGAATGTTGCCATCCCAATTAAAAATTCTTTCTTCACTTTCACCTCACTTTTACACTTCTATATATCATATATGTTACTTTATTCATATTCACTTTGGGATTAGTTAATTTAATCCAGAGCTAATTGACATATAAAGCTTCATATTCCATGCCTTTAAAAGTAATCTAGCAGAACTATCAATATTCACTAGTGTCTTATCAAAATGTGGAATAGAATTTAAGACAATCTTATGATTAAAACTCTTACCTTGCAAGTTGATGTCGGAAAGAGATAATGCTTGGAGGTTGGTCAAATTTTCAATGTCACTTGGAATGATTCCTGGGTTGAACATGTTATAACTTAATTCTAATTGCGCTAATTCTTTGCATTGATGCCAAATGGAAGGTATTTCGCCAGACAAATCATTTTCAACCACAAAAAATAGTTCAAGCTTTGGAAGCTCAAGACACACATTTGTTGGAAGACTCCCTGATAATTGATTCATTGAAAGTTCAATCTCTTGTAGCTTTGAATTGTTAAACAATGAAGATGGTATAGAACCAGCAAGTTGATTCACTTCAAGATACAACATCTTTAGTTGTGAAAGATCACCAATTTCATCGGGAATGTCTCCTTGAGATATTAGGAGGGAGAAAAAAGAGCATGTAAGTAACAGTTTTATATTTTTATAAAATAAAAACATATATAATATGGAAAAAAACACAAATATATTCCAAATGATTAAACACAACTACAATTATTTTAAAACAGGAATTACCATGCATGCAATTATTTGGATATGTAGGATAACGTATTGGGCCCATTACATTGTTTTATGCTTCAGTTCAGCTTATTATTTATTTCGTTTCATATCATTGGATATATGAAATTAGAATAGTTTAATTTAGATTTATTACTGTTATCTTTTCAGATTTGGTGAATTAATTATTTTTGGCAAATTCCTATATATCTTGTAAGATGTATTCAACTCATTCAAGAAATTAGATTCTAAGTTCCTTCAATTAACTATGATACAAAAAATCTAAGAGACACATTGAAATCTAATTTGGCTGTTGCGTTTCATCATTCGTATCAAAACACATTTGTTGGGAGACTCTGAAAAAAAAAAACCAGTTTTGCTAACCACAAGCTTTTTAAAAATTAAAATTAAAATGAAATTTAAATTATCCAAATCAAAATTAAATGTTCGAAATTTGTGCCTTGTAAGGGTTACTCATTTTTTTAAATGAAAAACAGACCATTAAACAAGTTCTTAATGAAAGAATAGTAAACATTTATTTTTACTCTTTGGTTTTAGATCTGTTCGGACTATCTTTATAACAGTATTATTTTTCCCATGGTGTGACTATATTAACTTAAATATACATGAAAATAAAAAAAATGCTGGCAAAACATAAAAAGAAATGTACATAAATTAAAAAAAAAACAGAAATTGAGACAAACCTAGATTCCTCGATGGCAATACATATAAACAATATTATTACATTCAAAGATAAATGAGCCTTTTTATCCGTTTGGATTAATAATAACAGCAGAAATTGGATGACAAATTTATAAAAAGATAAAAATGTTGCAAAGTAAAAGAAGAACATGCATAAAAATATAAAAAAAAAAACAAGAAGAAGAAGAAGAAGAAGAAAACAGTTGAGACAAACCCATATTCCTCTACGTGATCCTTGAAGGGTTATAGCAAGCAAACCAAATTGACAAGTTCAGAACAAAGACAATTATATATGCTAAAAATAATCCAAATTGTTATAAGACAAATTAAATAACTCAAGTGAAGATAAGCTGGAAATTCTTGTTGAAATTACTCCTGAAAATTTCTCACCAACAACTTATCCTGGAAAATGATTATTGTTGTTACTTTCTCTCCTATTCATTTTAACTTTATATTTTTCTCTCTTCTCATCATTGTTTATTTATTTGAACTCTTTTTCAGTATTTGTTCTATTTATTATCTCCCAAATTTTTAATTTCAAATTAAATAATTGTTGAATAATTGTTATAAGAAAAACTTTAATTTGAAAAGTATTATTAAATTTCACCAAGCATAATTTTGGAATTAAAAATTTAGCACAGTTCCTTTCTAAACCCAAATAATTATAATGATGAATTTTTTTTGTTTGTTGAGTACTTGCGAATATCTCGTTTATGTACTTTGTTATTAATTTCAGCGTTTTGTGTTTGTTTTCTTTATGTTATTGGATAGGTTGTTATTCAAAACCAAGTTAGATGGAGTATGTAGGTTCGTGTACCATTTTGCTTTGTTAATCTTAATTTTAGAGTATGTAGGTTTTGAAATTTATTAAAAATGATTTTTTTTTTATGAAAAAGAAGAGTGGTTTGAGAGAGCGAGATATGGTTGTAACAGATTTCTTTTAGTTTTAAAACTTCGATTCAATTCTGATATTATAATTTTAAATTTATTTTGTATATTTATTATATATTTTTTTGTATATTTAATTCCTCTACAATAAGTTTTAACAATGAAATAAATTAATTAAATAATAAATACAATTCTTGGGAAAAAAATGAAATAAGTGTTTAATGATATATGAATTTGAAGTGTAAGGCAAATACTAATGGACAGGAATTTGGCCCCAAAAAAAAAAACTAATGGACAGTAGGATGTGATAATTGGGCTTGGGATATGTGGGCTTGCATTGAAATGATCTGGTTATTACTTTTAAATAATTTAAACTTTTTATACAATAATTAATATTGATATAAGATTAGAAGTAATTTTTTTATAAGATAAGATCAGAAGTAATGATAAATAGTAAAGTGTCAAACTTGTTATGGTATAACTGGAATTATATTTATTAAAATTTTTTATTATTTCCCATGAAGTTACATCAAGCAATATACATAAAAATACTATCACCATTTTATTTTCTTTTACTATGTATATGTGATTTTTTGTTTGTTAAAGATTAAATATTTTTATGGAATAAAGAATAAATATTTTTATTGCTATACAAGTGACAAAGTACATGCATATTAAAATTCATTTGACAACGTGAAATGTGATAGCAAAATTAAAAACAAAAACAAGAAAAGCTTTTTTAGTATATTGGTAAGAGCCTATACATTAGAAACGAAAATTCAAAACTCGTCCATATATACAGACAGATCATGAATATAATTACAGTTATTGGTAAAAAAAAAAAAACAAGAGAAGTTGCATGTGAAAAGAAATGCAGGGAAAATGAAAAATAAAAGACAAGACTAAGGTTGTTAAACTCATGAGTTTTAAATAAACTTGTGATAGGAATGTAAACTTGTATCTCAAACTCAGATCATAAAATCATAAGAATTTACTTTTATTAACAAATAGCCATAAAAATATGATTGTAATTTAATTTAAATATATTAAAAATATAAATTATTGAAATTAAACACATATACATTGATAAATTATCATATACAAGACATAAAAATTTTAAAATAGGGGAACTTATTTTTGGTATTTTTGTTTTCTTTTTTTATTAATATTAGTTTTGCATTTTAAAAGTTTTTTTGGAATTAGGTCTTATAATTTTTATGAACTGAATTCTTCATAGTATATAATTAAATCACTCAACTCAAAAAAAATGATGAGCTTAACAAGTTTAACTAAGCTTGCATCTAGTCTGAGTTTATAAATTAGTTGATACGATTTTGTAAGTTAAAAACATAAAAACAGTAAATTCGGAGGTAAACTCGTGAGTTTAACTAAATTTATATTTAGTCTGAGTTTATGAGTGAATTAACATCATTTTATAAACTGGAAACATAAAAATGCTAAACTCTAGAGTCAACTCGAGAGTTTGACAATTATGGACAAGACAGAAGCATCAAAATCTTAGCAGTCCTTTTTCTATTATCTCTATCAAATTATATCATCATAGTGAATTACAAATCATCAACATTAAACATTCTTAAAAGCTTATTGTCATCTACAAGTAATAAAATTCTTTAAATTAAATATAATCCTTTAAAGGTGTAAAATTACTTTTCGCATTCAAAAAAGTTTCCACAAATATATAACTGATTTAAAATTTTTATTTCACCATTATGTGAGTGCGTGTCGTCAAAATATGTGTGTAAACAAAATGATTTCATTTCAAATTTATTTCTATCCAAGAGATTAGGAAGAAAAACAAACATCATTTACTTCAACAGCCCAAAACCATGTACATATTCGGATAGGGACATATATGTAATAGCACCCAAATATAATTCTTTATATTATATATATCATTTTAACCATAATTGCTTTGGGATTAAATAGTTAGTCTAATATTCTAATCCAGAGCTAATTGACATTTTATTCATAATCACTTTGGGGGGGAAAAAAAAACACACACACACACACACACAAATGGGCATGCTTGTAAATCAGTTGGTGCTCAAATATAATTTTTTTGGGGAAAATTGCCATTTAAATGATTCCCTCCCAGGTTAACCTCTCTTAAAGGAGGCATGTTCCAAAGAAATGAAGGAATTTCATCTAAAAAATGCAAAATATTTAATTTATTTAATTTGATGATATAGACAAACTAGCTTATATTTCAGGAACGAAAATATCTTCAGCTTAAACTGTTGGAAGCAATATAGAATAAGCATAAGGAAGAATTTTCTAAAGTATACATTCTTTTATGCATGTTTACAGTATTAATACTTTCTCAATCTAGTGTTGCATGTGTTTTACGTTAAAGATGAGAGGGGTAGTTATATGCATTTTTATTGACACAAGATTCAAAAAACAAAATTTATACTTAATGATCAAATCCATCCTTAGAAAATAAAGCTCACAATGTTAAGAAATATAATTATTTTCGGAAATTGAATTTATTACTAACTTATTAATTCCCAATAGGGTATTAACTTACATAGGCCAATTAAGATTATCTTTCTAGTTGATAAAAATATAACCTATATCTTGTAAAGACACATACTTAAAGTAGGTCATGGATGCGAGATCCTTGGTGGATGTTAACATGTAAATATATGTGGAAGTACTTTTGGAGTTATAAAGCATATCCTAAATCTTAAGTTCTCAATTATTGAAGACTTAACTCACCTAATTTTTTTTTCTAACTGATATAAAATATAAAAAAGTTGTAGTGGGTTTCATGCTATCATTGTCTTGGGGGTATCTGTGAAGTCATTGGCTTACTACCTTTGAAGTGTCCCAATCCAAATGTCACACTCCTTAGAATTTAAACAAAAACCTCTTTTTATAGAATGATATAACACAAATTAACACAAAAATTTCAATATTAGAACTAAGTTATTCAATAGTATTATTACTTTTTTTGAGTGAATTCACTAGTATTAGTAATGAAAAAGTGAGTGCCATGTTATATCGCCTTACTTTTTGAATAGTTAACTTCAATTATGAAAATGAAGGCCACAGATTTTTGGTGGTTTGTGTAATTATAATGGATTTAGTAATCATAATTAACAAAAAAACAACGTTCGCATCTAACATTCGTTTAAGAACAAAAGAAAGAGATGAAAATGAAGAAAAAAGAAGCTTACACTTCCCTGCAAGTCCAATCATGTTATAAATGTGCTAATTTATACATTTCATATACGAATTAAGTATAAATTCTTTCTATCTAAAGTTTGAATTTTATTATATTTATTTTTAGCAAATAATATACATAACAAAAATTAATATTTGACTACAAACTTTTTTTAAACGAAATAACAGTTAGCAATAAATAATAAAATTAAAATATAATTTAAATAGTCCAAATTAAAATTGAATGTTCTAGGTCCATGTATTGTAAGCTTTACTCATTTAGAAAGAAAACCCTTCAAAATGTTTTCAATGATCGAATAGACTAGTATTCCCATGCTAGCTATTATTTGAATGCACTGTAGTAAAGAAACAAATATCCTATTGCTTCAGTTTCATATAGATACGTGATTTATTGAAAACAATTGATGAAAAAAATTAAAAAAATGCATAAAAAGTCCAACTAAAATAGTCGAGACAAACTTAGGTCCTACCACATGATCAATATCATGCTAACCAAATAGACTAGTTTAGAGCACAAATAAATATAGGTATAAAAAATAATCCAAAACATGCCTGACAAAGTGTTATGAGACAGACTTAGCAGTTCAAGTGAAGATAAGTTAGAAATTGTTTGGGGAATAATTCCTGAAAGCTTTTTAACTGCAAGTCGTAAAATCTTCAAACGCTTGAGTCTTCCTAGCTCAACAGGAATTGTTCCTTCAATTAAATTACAATTCCAATTGAATACCTCTAACCTTGATAGATTGAATAGAGATAGTGGAATAAATCCATCAAAACTATTATTTCCAATATTTAAGTACTCCAATATGGATAAATCTCCTATCCATGCTGGAACTTGTCCATGAAAGTCATTGTAGCTCAAGTTCAATAGTTTCAATCTATGCAATTGAACTAACTCTCTTGGTATTTGACCATAAAAACTGTTGCTACTAAGATCAAGTTCAACAAGAAATGAGATATTCCCCAATTGTGGAGATATGGTACCTTTAAGATCCATACCACCAAGGTTCAAGGAACGAACCCTTCCATGGTGAGTATTGCAGGTGACACCAACCCAATTGCATGGAGAAGAAGAGAGAGACCAAGTAGATAAAGAATCATATGGATCTGAAGTGATTAAAGATTTGAGGCTAGGAAGTGCAGATTTATCAGTAGTGATGTTTGCATCAATCCAGGCTAAGGAGGATATGAAGCAATGGAGTGAGAAGATCAGGAAAACAAAGGAAGGAGATTTTTTCATGTTGAGTATATCAGACTTGTCAAAATTGCAAGTTGTGTATCTAGGAAAGCACACATCATTTTATACTTCTCCAATTCCAAAGCAAGTCAAGGCATGCAAACACAACGACAAATGGAAAATTAAAATAACATCTCTCATGATAAGATTAAGAAATTCAACTAAAATATTAATTATAATTAGCGTGTTAGGTAGATAATATCTGGTTTTTTTAATATTAGAAGATATTGTTTTAATCTTCTCTCATTTAATTTTACCACATGGATATTACAGCTATCAACAGTCTTCAATTGATGAATATATAATTCGCAGTGCTATTTCAACGGGAACGAGTGTTTTTTTTTTTAATGGAACCAAGTAATTTTGTTTTAAATAAAAAAGAATACGCATTGAATGGGTTCCATATTAATCAATAAATCAAAATAATCAAAACAAAAACAAAATACAAGGAGAGAGGGACGAAAAAATTTGCAGCCCAATACAAATCTGAAAATAGAAATCTCATAGTTTGTAAAAATTTTATTTTATTGACTCGTGTTTGTTTTAAATTAATTTTAATTCTCTACTTGTCTTGTATTTATAGATTATTTATTTTAATGAATATATAATAAAATACATGAATTGTATGGAAAGGTTATTTACAAATAACACAGGCAAAGGTTAATTAAAGTGTATCTTTTCCTCCTCCAAACAAAAAGGCGCAAGTATGTACAACAAATAATAAAATAATGAGTACTGTATGATCTGAGGGAGATTTGTTCACAGACTTTGTTCAATACCGATTTTCACTCATTAACCTTTATTATCATCATTTAGTGAAACCACAAATTGATTTACAAGTTTAATTACATCAACTTTACCACCACCAATGTAATGACCTAAAAGTCTAAAAATAGAAACTTTATGAAATTTTAAACAATGGCTATCAAGCGAAAATAATTATCGTTAAAGAGAAAAAAGTTAATCTAAAAAATTTTAAATTAATAAATTAATATGAAAAGCTTAGAAAATTGATGGCCGACAATAAGTCCATATGACTAATTTTTATTATTAAATTTCTTTTTTTTAAAAAAAAAGGATACATCCATTTACTTTTATGGTTTGATAAAATTTTCTCGAAAGTGTCGGCACATGGCATGCATGCTAGACTTTTTGAAAGCCTTCATAATTTGATCGGATGTATTGTACCAATCATCCTTTTGTAGGTGCATAGAGTGCTTGACTTGTGAGGAGACATCAAAGTCACAGTACTCCGTTTAACGCGAAATAATTTATAAATATCTGTTGATGTATTTTTTTTTAATTGCTTATAAGTGTTCTTTCCTTAGCCAATTACTCAAATAAAAAAATCACATGCAGCCAACGTCAAAAGTTGCATCATATTTTCCTTAATTTAACTCATCATGGGAACATGGGCTGGCCCATACGAAAGACTTTTAATGAGAACACAAATAACTAAGAAAAATTAAAAGTTGTCCTGTAAAAGAAGTTGCGAATGAAAGAGAAGAGCTTCACTGTGTTATTTCATTTGCGGTCAAATCTGATAGGCTACAGAGAGTGTCTATCCCCAGAAGAACGCTACTGAGAAGACCAAAAAGTCATAAATAAATGAGGACTTTGAAGTCATAACCAATGTTGGACCAGTCTCAATCACAATAAAATTTTTAAATAGCACATTTAAAAAATAACTTCAACAATCTTTATCCATATATTGCCATACTTGTCCAAATATATACCGTAATATTTGTTCATATCAGTCTCATACATGCTAAATTAAATAAACACAATCTCACACTCCAAATACTATTTATTTTCTATTACAAATTACCAAAATCATCAAGTACACCAAACAAATTGGCACATAAACCAATTTTCCCAACATTAGGGAGAGAAAATAAGTAGCTGGAGAAAGAAATTACATGGAATGAATTATCATTATTTCATCTAGATTTTCATACAAAGCAATGTGAACTTGAAGTTAAAAGAATAATTCATCTACAAAATATTATAAATCAATTGCCAGATGCATTTACTGACCTTAAAAAAATTACCAAATCTCATATTCCAGCTGAAATATTCCTATTAGAATTGATGTCCTAGTAGGACAATTAGAAAGTGAAAATGAATCTAAGCCACGTCTGAAACGTGGTAGACTAATTGGTTCCAAAGATAAAATTCCTAAAAAGAAGAAAAGAACACAAAATAAAGATGGTATTGTAGAGGAGGCTGGTACTATAGAAGAGTACAAAGACATAACTAATCAAAATACCCCAGAAGAGGTCTACGTACCTGAAGATAATGAAGAGATCTTAATAAGTTATGTCACTATAGGAAAAAGATGTAACCTGAAAAATATAGTCATCGACGACATATTTTCATATAATATTGCTGTGAAAATAATGAATCAAAATGAGGATCTAGACCCAAAATCGGTTAAAGAATGTAGACACAGAAATGTTTGGCCAAAATAGAAAGATGAAATTCAAGCATAATTAAATTCACTTTCAAAATGTAAAGTTTTTGGACCTGTAGTCCGAATACCTAATGGTGTAAAGCCAGTTGGATATAGATAGGTATTTGTGCGAAAACGAAATGAAAAAAATGAAGTCATTAGATATAAAGCACGACTAGTAGCACAAGAATTTTTGCAAAAACCTAGTATTGATTATGAAGAGACATATTCTCCTGTGGTGGATACAATCATATTAAGATATCTAATTGGTTTGGCAGTACATAGAAAACTTGATATATGCCTAATAGATGTTGTTACAACATATCTATATGGCTTTTTAGATTAAAAAAATTTAAATGAAAATTCTTGAAGGATTCAAATTGCCAGAAGCATGTAAAGATTCTCGAGAAAAATATGCAATTCGTTTGCATAAATCTTTGTATGGATTGAACAATCTGAAAGGATGTGGTATAATCATCTTAGTGAATATTTGTTGAATGAAGATTATAAAAATGATCCAATCTCTCCATGTATTTTTATAAAGAGAAATGGGTTAGAGTTTGTTATAATTGCTATCTATAAGGATGATTTAAATATAATTGAAACTTCTGAAGAGCTCTAGAAAGCAGTTGATTGCATAAAGAAAGAATTTAAAATAAATGATCTAGGAAGAACAAAATTTTGCCTTGGTTTACAAATCGAGCACTTAGCAAATGGAATTTTTCTTTATCAATCAACTTACATTGAAAAAATATTGAAGTGATTTTACATGAACAAACGCATCCATTAACTATTCTGATGGTTGTAAGATCTCTTGATGAGAAAATAGATCCTTTTCGCCCTCAAGAGAAAAATGAAAAACTTCTTAGTCCTGAAGTACTGTATCTCAGTGCTATAGGTGTACTAATGTATCTTACTAATTCAACAAGACCTAATATTGCATTTGCTGTAAATTTATTAGCAAGATTTAGTTCTTCCCTAACAAAAAGGCATTAGAATGGAGTTAAACACCTATTTCGATATCTACGAGGGATAATTGATATGGGATTATTTTATTCTAATGAATTTAGATCACAACTTATTGGTTATGGAGATGCAAGATTTTGATCAAATCCACATAAAGGTAGATCACAAACTAGATATTTGTTTACTTGTGGGGGTATAGCAATATCTTGGCATTCAACAAAACAAACTTTAGCTGCTGCCTCATCAAATTATGCTGAAATAATTGCAATTCACGAAACAAGTAGAGAATGTGTTTGGCTAAGGTCAGTGATCCATCATATCCAAAAGATGTGTGGTTTATTGTTGGAAAAAAAGATTCCAACAATATTATTTGAGGATAACACAGCATGCAAAGCTCAATTGAAAGGAGGATATATTAAAGGAGATAGAACAAAACATATTTCTCCAATTTTTTTTCACTCATGACTTTTGGAAGAGCAATGATATAGATGTTTAGAAAATTTATTCATGTGATAATCTTGCAGATTTGTTTATTAAGACACTACCAACTTTGACATTTGAGAAGTTAGTGTATGGAATTAGAATGTGCAGACTCAGAGACATAAAGTGATGATGTCGTCAGGGGGAATGGAGTGATATTGTTACCAGGGGGAGACTACAGGGAGTAAATATTATGTTGTACTCTTTTTCCCTTTCTAAGGTTTTGTCCCACTGGGTTTTCCTATAAATGTTTTTAATGAGGCAACATTAGTGAATATTTAAAATATTGTGTACTCTTTTTCCTTCACTAGGTTTTTATCCCATTGGGTTTTTCCTAGTAAGGTTTTAATGAGGCACAATATTTGTTATGGACATCCAAGGGGGAGTATTATAAATATTAAGTTATGGACGTCCATAACTCATAGCCCTTAGGATTCCTTTATCTTTAATGTCCTCATGAATGGCATGAAAGGAGTTTCTAGTCTTAATAGCTTATAACCTTCAAATGTTACATAATACACCATTATATGCCTCATTATATCTTTGTAACATTAGGGTAGGACTTGAATGATTGGAGGCCTATAAATAGAGGTCATGTCTAAAGCATATGTATACTAATGAATAAGAATTATCCTCCATTATTTTCTCTCCATTTCTTGTATTGTCTTGTCCTTCTCTACTCTTCATATTAACTATATTTTACAACACGTTATCAGCACGAATTGGCTCTTAAAATAAGATATAAGCTTTTAGTTAGATTAGTGTGTTCTTATATTATATATATAACTATATTTTACAACATAAAAAAAACCGATGCATGAGAGTTACAGAAATGAAGCAAAACGTTGTTCTGTTTACACCTTCATTAAGCCAGCGAAATGTCTAGCATTTATGTTTGTAACGTCTTAGTTGCTTGCCTGTTTCATTCAGAGTCCTTGCACTATAAATAGGACTAGCTTTGCTATAAGAGGCAGTTCAGACTTGAAATAAAAATTAAAATTTTCTCTTTTCATTTGGTTTCTATGCCACAAACTGTCCAACTAATTAAGCTATAGTATAAATTTTCATAATTTACCAGAGCCACTAATAAATCATCAAATATATA